AGGCAGCAGGAAAGACTTCTATGAAAAAGGGAGAATATGGGCTGAATGAGATGGGGACCTGGTTGCAAAGATGGAGAAAACACCAAAGTACTGAATGCTTTCTTTGCCTCAGTCTGCCAGCAACACTGACCTCCAAGAACTCAGGTCTTGGAGACAGATGAAAAGGCTGGAACGAGGATATTATACTCTTTGTGAAAAGTGGTCAGTCAGGAAATGCTTACATAAACATACTTGCAGGCCATGCAACCACAAGGGCTAAGAGAGCCAGGAGATGTCATTGTGAGGCCACTCTTTATCATCTTTCATTGACTGTGGCAACTGAGAAAAGTGTCCGAAGTCTGAAGCAGAACAGATGCCACTCCTAACTTCAAGAAAGGCAAGAAGAAGGATCTGAGGAATAAAAGGCTAGTCAGAATCAATTTGAGCCTCGGAAATGTGATCCTGGAAACCATTTTCAAGCATATGAAGGAGAAAAATATCATTCGTAATAGTGAATGACCAAGCCCAGAAGGTGGCGATCAGCAGAACAAAGGTGATTTTGTCTCTGTGAACCCATACTGACTACTCCCAGTCATCACTTTGTCCTTCATATAGTTGAGAAACGCTTTCTAATATTATTTGCTGCATTGCCTTCGCTGGGATCAAGGTGAAGCTGACCGGCCTTTACTTCAGAGGATCTATCATTGTTTCCTCTTGGAGACAGGAGTGGCATTTGCTCTCTTCCAGTCCTTGCAAACTTCTCCCAAATTTCCACAAATTTTCAGAGAAAGGTTGGCCTCACAGTGATGCCTGTGAGTTCCCTCAGCACTTGTGCATGCTTCTGTTAACTCCCACAGCGCTTGTTTCCATCCTTTTGTTTTCAAAGTTCCTCAGCAGAATTCTTCTGAACCACGTGTCCACGTTGCCTCTTACTGAAAATCCTCATTGAAATCAAGAGAACTAAGTAAACAAGAAAGGACCACTTCTTTATGATACAAATTGGCCACCCTTTCTGTAACTTTTAATAAGAACATGTGGACTTTTATAAAGTCTCCTTACACTGTGTTACTCCCACTGTCCTTAGGAACAGAATGGCTAACACCAAAGTTAAAATGCCTCTTTTTTGCTTTTATGAAGGAGAACCTGTTGAGGTCCTGGAAGATATCCTGATAGCCTCCAGGCCTTCTGTATGCAATGAAAAGGTGTGTGCTGTGTATTTCAGTGTACTGCAATGCAATGGAGCACTTTTGCTCAGCTCCATCTGCATACCTGTGTAGTCCCTAGAGAGCAAACAGAGTGTAATGTTTGTGATCTCAGATTCAAGAGACAACACCATTCTATAATTCCTGAAAGCACCGAAACTGATGTAACCCATAATGAGTAACATCCAGTGTAAGAGTTCTAGAGTTCGAGAAACATCAAATAGCAAAATGGAATTTGAGAAAAAATCTACCATTTATACAGCTGCTTTTCACTTTTGTGAGTGTGTTTTAAAGAACAGCAGTTGTCAACTCAGGCATTACTAAGTGAATAGTCTTCTGTTGTATAGAGAAACACATGGTGGTTTAAGTACGTGATGTTCTGCACTGTAGAAATCTTCAATGTAGAATTATTTAAGGACAGTTTGGAAGTACTGGGAGCAATAGATAGTAGGCAACAGACTCAATTCAGTCCTATATATGTCTTTGGCATGCCATGAAAACAGGATATGAATTAAGATAAAGTTGACTGTTACATTCTAATATTGAAATATACTTATCATATTAAAAAAAAGCCTACAGTTTCCAGGAAAAAAAAAAAAAAAAGAAGTTTTGTCAGATTGCTGTGTCAGTTTGTTTCAATAAGCTGTTAGATATATTGAATTTGGTATCTTCATGACTGGGGAGAAAAGAACTCAGTGTGAAGTAAAACTGGAAGGTCTGATACAAATATTAATTTACGTTCTGGTATGATGAAAACATAATCTATATTCTCTAATGAGCCACTGGGTTTTGGAATAGAAATTCTTTCTTCAAATCTAGAGCTAATTTTGAATTTTTAACCTGTTATCTTCAAAATCTGAAATTCCTATGTTTCACATCTGTTTGAACATGTTTAGTCCTCTTCATTGAAAAACATAGTATGGGCTTTCTTTAGAACAGTGCTTTTTGCCATCAAATTTTCTCCAGTGTAAATCTGGCAATACACAGACTTTGAAATAAATGTTTGTTTCTTGTACGGTCCATTGCCCATGCTTTAATTTAACTGCTGTTTGAGAGACTTTGAATTATTTCTCCTGCAAATTCTTTGCAAATTTATTGGCTGATAAAATGTATTTGCTGATATTTTATCCTCGATAATCAAGCAACAGCATATTATACCAGAAACATATTTTTTTTTTTATTACTGAAAATATTGGCTTTCTGTAGACTACGTAGTTAAGTTTTAGCTTGTGTGTTGTTTTCACTGCTCTGTCATCCATAAAACATTAAGCATCACCTGGTATAATAACAAGGATGATAATGAAAAGTTTAAGCGGGTTTGTACGAGCACTTTTGTTCAAAGACTTTACAAAACAAATGATTTAGAAACTGATAATAACACTGAGACTCAATGTGTAGTAATTTCATTGATGTTCTTTTCTAAATATAAATGTTTTCTAAAGGCTATTCCCCTTAAAGACGATTTGACGCAAGACATTCATTTGAATTTGAAAATATATCCTGTGGTGGTCTGAAGCTGTTGTTGTGACAGCAAGGATACAGCAAGCATCCTGAGTTCACGTAAATGAAGATTTATTAGTGATTCTAATGATGAAGCTGTATCTGGAGGAAAATAAGAGAACATAGAAGAAGAGGGAGAGAGAGGGCAGAACAAAATGGAAAGTGAGAGATATGGGCACCACGGAGGAGAGAGAAAGGTGGAGGAAGGGAGAGACACATAGGAAAGAAATGACGCTGGGGCTTCCTGGATAAGTGTCCTACCCTGGGCACTCTTTCCAGTAGAATGGGTGGTCGCCCTCACAGTACTTCTCCCACAGTAACTCAGTATTTTTCGTCAGGACATGCGCAAATCCCCCTTTGATCGCTCCTGCTTATGATGCTGTAACCGCTGGTGGAATAAAATGTTGATTGGGGAAGGTGTTGCATGGCAGGTTCAATGCTGCACTTTCTGCAAGAATTGCTGATGCCAAAACGGGAGCTGCAACCAAGTGGTAGGAAAAGGGAGGGGAGGAATGGATGATTCCAGAGACAGTTGCTTCCTATAGCCCAACGTAGCCATGTCTGTAGTTGCAAGGCCAAGATTATTAAAAACAGCATGAGAACAACACCCGAAAAACACTGTTGCAAATTTGAGTTACTTTAAACTAAAACTTTATTCATTTACTGCCAAAGACTTCTGCTGATGTGAATTTAGAAAGACCCTGTGGAATCTTTCACATACAGGAATGTTCAATGACACGGTCAGTTACAGATTAAAGAAGAAAAATGTTTAAAATAAATTCTGAAGTCTGTTTATTGTGAAGTCAGACGTGATGTTGATACATCTTCAATATCTACGTGGCTTAACCTACCCAGATCATATCTGTTACAAATAATTTTAAATGGTTTCTCTTTGTGGCTGTTGTTGCATGTTATTACGTGGTTCTTCTGCAGCAGTGTTGGTGTTGTGCATCGCCTCTGTTCAGTCATTCGTGTAAAATCAGAAATTGTTCTGTGCTGCAGCTTCAGGGAGCACAAGCACTTCACCTAGGTGTGGAATATTATCTGGGGGCCAGGATCATATATAGCCTGTCAGAATTGTTCGTAGGAGATAGAGTCTGTATCTTGCAACCTGGATCCAGCCACTTTTAACAACAAACACAGCTGCTGCAGGTAATCAGCTCTAACCCCAGAGCAGGCTCTGAAAACCTGTGTATTCTAAAAATGCTCCTGCTGCATCATATGCATTTTTAGTTGCATCTGTCCTGTACTAAACAGTCACGCATTTAGAGTAATACCCACATTTCTGTGTCTGCCTGAGTGACAGGCAGAGATGTGAGATTTCAAAGCTCTGCATTGCTTTGTTGCGAAATGTATATTCTTAGAAAGTCTTTATACTGACCTGATGTATTTCCAGAGCCTACTGGGGCTTAACAAACTAAAAGAGGTATTTTATACACCAGATACAGATAAAATTGAGAAATTTCTTGACACTGCATACAAATTCTGGATAAAAGGAGCAACTCTGTTTGGATTTGCTGAATATCAGTTTTTAGAAGACTGGCAAAAAGGAGCAGTATTTGTTCTTAGCAGAGTTTCATTATTTCAGGGAGGTGCGCGGATGTCTGATTCATTCCTGTAAAAATGTAATGCTTGCATTAAAATAAATCTAATGCTTATGAATCAAAAGGACTGTCTGACAGAAGTAAATAAATAAAGTCAACTGAACATAGCAGATTGTGACAGAGCTAAACCTCTCATGACAAAAAATTATTTGAGCTTTATAGGCAGATCAATACAGCACATCCACTTTAAACAAGTTCACACTCATACCAGAAGCAAAGTATTGCGATTACAATAGACTGCAAACCACTTTTTAATATCTGGGTAAATATTTGAGCAATTAACTTGCTTCAAGCTTCCTGCAACTGAGGCTTCACTCTTACTTGCAGAAAGACAGCATTGCCAGAAACCCAGAATCTGCCCTTGAATCAACCTTTGAAGGAAAAGACAGTAGCAACAATACCAGTGACATACAATGTTTGAGTAATAATTTTGGGGTTATTCAGACTCTATGCAGAAATGCGGGTTAAGAAACTGCATGAAGTTCCAGGGAAGACATTTTCTACAGCACTTTGAGGAAATAAAATTTAAGAAAATTGCATTTACCATTTCGGACATTCCAAGAATTGTGAGAGTCGTAAGAATATTGATGTGAGTGAGCGGGTATAAAGATCAAAAAGAATAGATCCACGTCAGACTTTTCTTTTACTCTGAGGTTTGGCTCCCTTCCATGTTTTCATGAAATAAATTGGCTGTTGCAAAGCAGCTAGTAGCATTCTGCCGAGTGGAAGTATCCCAGCAGAGGGACAGAAACAGGCACAATAAGGTAAGCAAGAGTGAAAGTCTTTACAGCAGGGTTCTGAATGGGTTTCAAGATTTCAGATTAAGACTTTATTTACCATACTGCTTGCTTAGAATCTAACAAATACTGATTTATCTGTTCACTTTAAACTTCTCTTCCAAAGCCTCTTCTGCAACCTGTTTTACATCTAGTCTGTATGTTTCTATATCTATTTTAGAGTCTCCAGATTTTGTAAAAGCTAGTTGATGTGAAAGTAATTGCATCCCCAGTATTTATTAACCATAGATTGGCATAAGATCCTTTTAATCTACTTCTAAATTGTTGAATTGTAAGAAACTTTGAGAAGTTGCTTATGTTATTTGAAAGCAGGGCTGTCAGCTGCAGCCAAACACAATAAAAACAGATCTCATCTAATGGTCCCAGGGAGTGCTTGCTGTGAATGTATCGGTATAGAATTAGATAATATTTGGATCATTCTACTGCGTGAATGGACTCCAAGTGTTTTAAGTTCTGTTTATATGTACTGAGATGTGCCTGGGATAAGTGGAACAGTGAACGATGCCTAAGAACAAAAGAGATTACTAAGGAGGCAGGAAGTTTTACAGATTATATACTATTTTATATGAAATGGATTTTCTTTACTGCCTTCATGCAAATGCATCAACTTGTACATAGCAGGAAAAAGATTCAAACCCCCTATGCTTTCAGGGTGACCTTGCTGCCACTGACCACCAGTGTGCTTAAGTATAGCTGATTCCAGCAGCTTGAAGAGCCAAGGATCGAGTTTTCTGCTTCCCTTCCAGTTAGTGTGCATGTGAAACAAAATGAAAGAGACCACTGTCTCCAAAACAAATGGTGTCTGACCTGTTCTGCAGCCAAGAACATGCACCTCCTCTTTCTAGCCCTCCTCAAGCAGTGTATACCGCACAGAAGTGGAAAATTAGTGAACTGAAGAAATGGGCATGAAAAGACATTGCAACAACAACAAAAACACATAACAGAAACAACTGTGAATAAAAATGAAGAGTGGGAGTGGGTGGCATGTATGTAAGTACATGGTGGAAGAGGAAAGGGTTATTAGAATGAGAGCGTCTTTATTTTGCACACTGCTGTGGGTTGCATGTGGAAATTGAAGCTGTGGAAGCTTGTGTCTTTTTAAATCATTGTAGAGAGTTTTATTTATCCTACAGTGCCAGCAGAACTAAGATCTAACACAAACTTTTACGATTTCTCATTTTTAAATGTCTGCTGATTAAAATAACCAAAAATAACTGAATTGGAGTACAGTCCTTCAGAACTTGAATATACCCATTGCTCTGAGAAGAAAGTTTTCTAAGAATCATTCCTCTGCACTCCCCAGGATTTCTTTGGGGTCCTAGCTTGTATTGTCTTTGTCTTCTCACGGAGGTGATGACTATAAATAATTCAGATGAAACACTCTTTGTGTCTCGGTGGTTAGCAAGGTGTCACTTTAGCTCTTCATAAAATTAATTTCCACTTCAGTAAGCATTTAGGCCTATCTGAAAATAAGTTGCAATTAATAACTGCAGTCTATGAAGTCCAGAGTCAATGGAATCATAAGATAATTCCCTGGCTGTTTCACTAGTCGTAAAAATCAGGACTTTGAATCTTCCTGACTTCTGATCGAGTGCAGTCAAACTTATACTTTCATTAGAAATGTTCAAAGAGGGATCAAATGCCTATTTTTGAGCATCCCTAGTTCTAACTAGGTCCTGATGCTTTGTAGGGGCTGAACTCCTAGCACAGCAATGCCTCTGACTATCCACAAGCTGGTATTATTTCCCAGATGCTCTGCAGAGCTTGACGCAGGAGGTTGCAGAGGTCAGGTTCTGTTAAGATTTCGCAAATGGTCTTCTTTATTTGTTCAGCTTACTTCAATGATGAAGCAGTTACAGAAAGATGAAGAAGACCTTGCCTTTACTTTCTACCCCTGCTTTTTTTTACCAGACATTTGAAAAATGAGAAAATTCTGTAAGTAGGAAAAAAAAAATATTTTTCTACTAGAGATATTTCACTTTTCCATAGGCTAACTCAGTGTTCGTTTTTAACTGAGCCAAAAAGTAAAAAAGAACTTTAGTTAGCTTTGTGTAATTTACTAATAGGAGAAGTGAAGTGAAATAAGTCCTTCATTTTTACCATTTCTCATAAATAACAAAATGTGAAATATTGCATTAAAGAAATAAATCAAACTAGAATACAGAACTCACCTCCCTAAATGATTTCATAAATTACTTCTGTCCTGCCACAGCCACAGGCTGTCTGGCCTAGCTGATATTCAGTTACTCTGTGCAAAGCTAAAATTATGGGGCTGAAGTTATCCTTGCCTTCACTTAGATCATTTTCCCAGGGTACCATAAATAACTGAAGCCAGGTGTCTCCTGTGACGTGCATTTTGCCATAAGTAGTGGTCACAAACTGTTGATTTCAGAAAACTACCTAGATGTGAGAAGCCCAGCCTCCCTTTTTTCAAACTGAAGTAATATCCTCGGCTTTTCTGAAGTGCAGTGATTCAAGCTAACAGCCTACTAGCTGGCTGGGCGGTTCACTCATCAGTGTATTTCCCATTCTTAGATGCTAGCCTTTCCTTAGGATATCTACCTGAGGTAATCCATTTATTCATCTGCCATTCAAAAAGAGAAACGCGTTGTTTTAGTAAATGTAATCACAAGTGCAACGTCATTTGAAAGATGCAGAATACACTGAAGTCAAATGATTATATTGTGGATGAATCACTAACTGTCTGAGTTATACGATTGGTTTGAGGTTGAATTTTTTCTTGCAGCTGCTTGTTGTAGTCATGAATGAATTATTCTAATATGCTGCTCAAGTTTACAAACTCCAGTTCTCCTTCTTGACTCTCCGTTTAAGATTACAAAATAGCTGCTTGTCTTTACTGAAATTTAGGCTATAGTATGTTGAAGTTAGCATCCTAAACTATCACTTATGAATGCTTTGAAAATGATCTAAAACCAAGGTATTTCTGAGGGACAGAAAGTGTGTGATTTTTCAGTCCGGCCACTGAACTGCAGAAAGATTGCTATGGGTGAAAAGTGTAAATTTAGAAAAATGAAATAACATAAACTAGTCATATTCTTTCTAGGGGTAAGTTTTTTTTCAATACATTCCTTTAACACGACTTTATATATACATCTTAGCAGAAATTCAGATGTATCCAACTGAATTACTGCCATCGGAAACACTGTTCTTGCTTTTTAAGACACAAGCCTGAGTCATCCAGGCTATCATGTTTACTGGATTTATCCTGATTGCCTTGAATGTCACGTATTGAAATGTTACCATTTTCAAACTTGTTTCTCAACTGAAATATCAACTTATACTTCAGGACTAGGAATGAGAGACAACTCAGGTTATCAGAGCTTCTCAACGAATTGCAAAATGGTGCTCCGCTCAGGCCGTGAGAAGCCATACAGAGTGCCTACTTGTGGAAGGCAAAGAGTGAGAAGGAGATTTCCGGTGAGCGCCAGATCAGCAGCTGCTGAAAACTCAGGTAACTTCTCCTTTTGTGTGAAAGGTGTGTTTGTAATCTTGGGATGCCAGTCCAAGGTAGAATTCAATTCAATCAAGTATCAAAAGCAGCTCAAAATTGAAAATACATGAAGGAATAGCAAAGCGAAACCTGGCTTTAAAAAAAATGAGCACTCCTCAAAGGAGTGACATTAATTTTTTCATATGACCAAATGCATTATGGTGATTTCTAAAGTACATCTGTAACTCCCTAGAAGAGACTGAATGTCATAGCAGGCCTGCCAACTGTTCTGAGTACTGTACTAGTTCTTAGAGTGCATCAGAATTCTTAAAATGTAAGAGCTATAATGCACCATCACAGGTCTTTCTGAAAGTGTTGCTCTGCTAATTTCTTTTGAGAAAAACTCTTGCTTCTTCTGGAGGCCTTGTAGTTCAAGTTGTCAAACCAGTGAAGAAAAGGCCTTTGCCCATGTAAGGTCCAGCATAGGATGTGTCAGAGTTGCAGTGCAGGAGGGTCAGAGTGCACATCTCTTGTCATTTTGGTTCATTTTTTTCAAGAACATGTTGTTGCTGTTCAGCAGAAACAGGGACAACTTCTCAAAGACAGTTCTTTTTTCTTTTTTTTTCTTTTTTTTTTCTTTTTTAACAAAATTTCAGCTGAAAAGCAGGTATTTCAGGGGAACTGTACCAACTCAAAAGGACTAACAAAAGTTTGCAGTGAGGTCAAGCATTCCCAGAGCATTATGTCATAGCTAACGCATTTTCAGTATCCTGTTGCTTCACTTGTCTAAGTTTTGCAGCTCAGGAAGGACAATTCACTTTACAACACTTGTTTACTACAGAGATCTATGTTGTTACCAAAACTTCTTCAGCTCTGTACTGAATTGGAAAGCAGCAAACCTGGCCCAGGAAAAAATACTCAGTCTAGTAAAATCTAAATTGTGCCTTACAGTGTTAATCTGTAGATGCTGCACACTTATATTCAGTTGTGGGAAAAAACAACTTCTCTGCCTAAGAACTTTTACCTATAAATACCTTTGCTGTCATGGTATATTTCTTTTTTCAGTAAGAGATGCCAGGTACACCGAACAACCTCCTCTCCTGCCCATCCAAGCCTCCAGCCGCCCCTCCAAAAAAAAGGCTGCTAATTTAGGTAGCCATATGCGCCCTAAAACACTTGTTTGTATGCAGATCCGATTTTCGAAGTGGAAAACTGGGGAACAGAGAGGTACATTCTTATGACAGGAAGGAAACTAATGCAGGAACAACATGCTGCAGAATCATTTCCCTCACTTCACCTTTACCTTTGTTCAGATTAAATTTACACCTTAACAGCGCGCTGTCTACTTGTGTAGGCCCCCACACAGGGTGTTACTTTGTTTTGCCTTCCCACACCAATTGCTACTTTAGACCTCCTCTTTTCGTGTGTATGAAAATTCCTCCTGTCCTTCTCAGCATTGTCCAACACAGCTATCTGCAGGTTGTCCGCAACTCCAACCTCCAGGTTTACAGCATCCTTTCGAGTAGGAAGACATTTTTGCAAGCTCAAGTTTCTGCACAAATGGCGTAACTCTCCAGAAAGCTCAGCTTAAATCTCATGTTCTCATTGGGATACATTGCAAGCAAATAAATCCTTGCTTTCCTTCTTGGCCACAGCAACCAAGCCCCTTAAAAAGCAGCTTAAGCTAACTATAATTATATGTTGCCCATACTATTCTAATGTACATGTAGTTTATGTAAAATTTACACTGATTATCAAGCAAAAATAGCTATAAAATACACCTTATACTTTATTAGGTAATTGTATCATTTTTCTCTTATCAGTACAATTAATTACAACTCATTTATGATTAGAGCTTCAACTGCGGAGAACACTGAGGTGCTATATACAGACCGAAGATTCAAAAACTGTGCATTTCAACTTAGATGAATGTGGTCGTCATGAAATATCAACCATGGATTCACAACACCCTGCAGGTAGTGTGCCTTTTGGACCAAGAGTTGTGAACTGTTTGTGTAGCATCATAAGAAGCTGCTGAACGCACTTTTATACAGTCTGTTCATGAGCCAGTACAGATGACATCTGATTGCATTGTTACAAATATTGATAGTGATGTATGAAAACATTTATTGCAGTTTAAAATAGGTAAGTATAATACATACTGTTAAGTGCGTAAGTATACATAACAAGCTTTCAAAAAAGATTGTTTTGTTCACTCCATCTAACTTATTGGGAAATCTACATTTTTGGCTGTCAGTCATAGAATGGCTTGGATATGAAGGGACTTTGAAGACCATCCAGTTCCACCCACTACATCAGGGTCACATCCAAACTGATTTTAAATGCCTCCAGGGATGTGGCACCCACAGCTTCTCTGGGCAGCCTGTGCCAGTGCCTCACCACCTTATGAGTAAAGAATTTCTGCCTAATGTCTAATCTAAATCTCTTTTAAAACCATTCCCCTTTGTCCCGTTACTATCAAAGTGTTTAAAACGTCAAGCACCCTTCTGTTTGTAAGCTCTCTTTGAGTACATGAAGGCCATTACAAGGTCTCCCCAGAGCCTTCTCCAGGCTGAAAAAGCCCAGTTGCTTCAGCTCTTCTTTGTACAAGCAATGCGCCAGCCCTCTGATCATCTTCATGGCATCCTCTGGACCCTCTCCAGGAGCTCCATGTCTTTTCCGGTCTTGGTTTCAGTATTTCAGGGAGGATATTGAACAGGCACAGCAGAGAAGGACAGTCACCTCTCTGACTGTTGACCATCCCTCTTTTGATGCAACGTAGTATACAGCTGGCTTTCCAGGCCACAAGTGCAAACTGTTGACTCATGCCAAGTTTCTTGTTCTCCAGAACCTCAAAGCCCTTTTCTACAGGGCTGTTCTCAATGAGCTCTTCTCCCAGTCTGTGCACCAATCTGGGACTGCCCCAATTCAAGTGCAGCCCCTTGCAAAGAAAACACTCAGAGACAAGGGCAAAATTAAGAAAAACAGAGACATTCTGGAATTTGTAGAATTATTCCATTTTTCATGTAAACCTTCTTTTATCTCAGGCAGGTCTTTTCTAATTGATCCCAAAATGGTACACAGAACCACAGAAGTGGTTCTTAGGGTTTGTTTGGGGTATTTGTTCGTTGGTAAGAGGCAAGTAACAACAAATGCAATTATCCTAGAATTATTTGTTTTCCAAAGATGAGATAATAGAGATAATAAACTAGGCAGATTTCTTATGAAAGTACAGTAAAAAGTGGAAAACTATAAGATCTGTGAATATGCTCATGGTGTTAGAATCCTGTTGTAGAAGATACTGCTGTTCTCCAAGAAAAAAAAAAAAAAAAAGAAACAACAGAAAAGAGGAAATTCTATGTGATACATTTGTATATGTAAACACAAGTACCACAAACATACACTCATGATAATATCATCAAGATAGCACCATATAAGGAGCCAACTCCTTGTTATACTATTATCTGTGGCTTTGAGCTGAGTAGGTGCTGCTTTCACCAAAGCACAGCCTACATAGTGCATGCTGATGCAAGAAATGCTGCAACACCCATTCCATGGCTACCTGCTACTTCTCAATCTTACTCACTTTGTGTCAGGAGTCTCACATCTACTGCCCAAAGACCCTAGGGATTTCTATTTGATATCGTTTCATCACTGGCCTCCATTTTGTCAAGTGTATTCTCTTTTGTAAAAGACATCCAGTCAGTATATTTATTAGACTCAGAGCACATGAGAATTCAGGGTGCATGTGTACAGGTGTACAGGTACAACCGTTCAGTCCTAGTGGCACCACGTCAATTCAGAAACCTGCAAGAAATGAAGTCTGATGTCTACTGCAGCTCCAAAGCATTTCTCCATTTCTCAGACTATACACTAAAGCAATTCTTCAAATCATTATGTTTTTAAGTTTGAAGGATGGTTCTGTCTAATTCCAAATCTTTTGTTTTAGATACAGCATGGTTAAGCCTGTTCACAAGCAAGGAGCCAGCAGTTAGAGGTAAGACTTGAATGACTCATGTGGGAGGAAAATGTTTCATTCTCTTTGTCAGGGACTGATTTAAAAAGAGTTTGTAATGTTTTTAAGACATCATATCAGAAGCCATATATTAAACCAGATGTTCATTTAGGTCAGGCTACTGGACAATCTTAAAAACCACAAAACTTGCCATAGCAAGTTATGAATAAGGGCTTAAACAGAAGACAAATGTCTTTGCACAAGGAAATAGAATGCACTCAATCTTGAATCAATATTTTTAAAAGAAAAACATGTGCTATACTGCTGGCATTTGAGTCTCAGCTAGCAAAGACCTGTTGTAACAGGAAGGGGAAAATAAAAAGTGTATGAAGAAAGAGAAGACATATTTTTGGAACCTCCCCATTGTAAGCATAACAGATGAGTGGTACATTGAAGGATATATTAGTTCCAGTATTCCAATAAAAGATTAATTTATTTCAGTTTCAATCACAAAGAACTGCTGTGATCCAGGATTGCACTTTGACCAGTGGTCAAGTGGAGGTTTCTAGGGAAGACTATAAAATACTGACCCATCCATTCAGTACTTGCCTAAATCCCAGCAATTTTCATTTCAGGGATACCCCAAGCAAGAAATGGCACCTTGTATTTCATCAATTACAAGGCATTCAATTTAGCATGAGTTTGTAAAAGTATCCCCTAAGAGTCTGGTTTTGGAAATCAGAGAGGATAAATAGCTCAACCACAGCCCAACAGAGAGTGGAAGCAGCATGTACAAAATCATGGAAAACTTCCTTTCTTTGGCTAGCAGCAGCCATCTATCCAATAGCCCATTTGTCACGTTTATCAGGCACGATTTAGACAGTTCATCTCCCTTCAGTCAGAACACAGTTATGACTGGGGTATGAAATATCTCTTGCCAGCTCATGTGCCACCTATATGCTACAGCTGATGTTGGACAACTGACTGGGGTAGTCTGAACTGGTGAATCTGCACGTAATGAAGCGGGAAGACTTTCAGATGTTACATTCATCAAATGTACTTATAAATACGCAAACTGAGCACAATGTGCTGAAGTGCAACTCAAATTTTATCAAGGATTTTTATGCCCTTTCAATGCTGTTACTGGTTCAGACAAAATTCCTTCAGAAGTCTTCTACAGAAGCTTTATAGCTAGGGTAAGAAAGGCTAGCTAAAATAATATGTAGGATTAGGGAACATAAAATAGTTCCAGTGGAATTAGTATGTTCTGCTGATTCAGAATAACCTTCAAAGGCTGAAAAATATCCTCAGTGACAAGAAAAAAAACACAACTCTTTAACTGCAGCTGTTAAAGCTGTTAATTACTAACCTCTGTAACTCTGTATGCTCTGTATTCATTTGCTGTGGTGATGGACATGTAGTTTTTTTTCTCTGACTTGAACACCTTTCATATGATTAATTTATGAAAAAATTATCCCTGATACAAAAAAGGTCTTAAAAAATAAGTTTTTTAGGTTTGGTTTGGTTTTTCGTGTTTTTTCTTTTTGTTTGTTTTTTGTTTGTTTGTTTTTGTCATAAACAGCACACTAGAAATATTTTCAAAAGCACAAGTAGTGTTATTTTAAATAAATCTTCAGGGCAGATATTTATGGTAGGTAGTGCTATTTGCTAGCTAACGCTTTTGTGTCACATAATAGTTGACAAAAAGTAGCTTTGTTTTGTGTTTTTTTGGATCTGGAACTTTGAACCATCCAAAGGCAGTGTTTGTTTTATCAAATTGAAAATTATCCCATGTTGTATACACTTATTTCCTGCAGCTGAGAAAGCAATGTTTTCAGAAAGGAATTGTATCCAGTGCACCCACTGACAGTGGAAAGATTTTAACCAACAAAGTACCCAGTAAATAAAACAGAAAAATCGGGTATTTTCTGTAGGGGCGTGTGCATGGTCAGGTGTATGATATAAACCAGTATCCTGTATACCTGTAATAATATCATATACCCATTAATAACCATAATAATGTGAATGTGCCTTCACAATTGATGAGTTTATATATATAAGCGTACTTATACTCACATACATCTGATACTCCATATATCATTTTTTTATCCATATTCAATTTTTTTTCGGAGAGAAATTAAGTCTAAATTGTCATGAAGTCATAGACTTTAAATACTTTTCAGAGGAAAGACTTACTGAGTGATTGTATTTGTTTTTCTTCCTGTCCCTATCAGTGTAAAGCCAATCTGAATGTTGTCTGCTTTACTGCTTTCATCTGTGCTTCATTTTATGAAGTGATACACATGTTATTGCAATTCTTCTTCTAGGAAAACCAAACTCTAAAAACGTGGTGGTCCTCATGCAGCGATTAAAGTGTAATGAATTTGTGCTGTTGAGCAAGGGTGAAAATCAACTCTGCCTGAAGGTAAGAAGTAGTTTAATTTGTAACTTTTAAGTGCTCTTTCCCTCTCTGGAACAATTTCTCCCACAGTCCTTTCTGAATTGGTTTTCCTTTCCTTATCACTTTCCACCCTGCATAACTTGACTGCCTCCCTCTCAGCTATCCAGACAAATATTTAAAATAGATTATTGCAAAAATAATTGGGCTTGGGATATTGCACTGAAACAAGGTGAGTTTAAGAGGGGAATTATTTTCTCCTTATCAGCCTGATTTACAAGAATCTGTTGTCAGAGCATTCCCATTTTCTTCAGTCTTTGTGGTTTATTTATAGTGGGAAGAGCAGTCAAGGTCAGATTTCCCTGTGGTATGCTCAGGTTACAAACCTCGCTATCTGTCTGAGGAAGAATTTCATGTAAGAATTTAACCTTTATGGCAGGGGAAAGATCTGAACTCTGTTTCCCCAAGTTATACCAAGATAAGGAATGATCATAGAATCATAGAATGGCCTGGGTTGAAAAGGACCATCTGGTTTCAACCCCCTGCTCTGTGCAGGGTCACCAACCACCAGACCAGGCTGCTCTGAGCCACATTCATGGCCCTGAATGCCTCCAGGGATGGGGCATCCACAGCCTCCTTGGGCAACCTGTTCCAGTGCGTCACCACCCTCTGTGCGAAAAACTTCCTCCTAATATCTAACCTAAACCTCCCCTGTCTCACTATCCACCTTTGTAAACAGACATACCCTCTCCTGTCTATATGCTCCCTTCAAATTTTGGAAGGCCACAGTGAGGTCTTCCCAGACCTTTGTTCTCTAAGCTGAACAAGCCCAGTTCCCCCAACATTTCTTCGTAGGAGAGGTGCTCCAGCCCTCTAAATGTCTTTTTCTGAATAAATCTTCTGTGTTTTTCTTTTCTTTTTTTCATTTCAGGACTCTCCAGAAAATGGAAATTTTTTTGGAAATATGCTTTAAAAGATACATTAATCATGTTTATAGTATATTACCACACTGGAATTTTTTTTACTTTCCTTGGAAGAGTATTTATTTTTTAAGATCTTTTCTGTTTCAGAGATAATTTTTCATAAATTAATGATATGAAAAGTGTTCCACCAAATCAGAGAAAGAACTGAGTGTTGAGTGCTAATAGATTTTACTGCTCCAACTCCTGTTTCAAAAGTATGGAATAATAGCAGATTACATCTCTTAGTGTGACTAAGAGCAGCTCTTAACCAAAAAATGGAGTAAGATGTCCTTGCTATCCCCCAAGCATGTAAAAGCCTTGGAAAGATCGCTGACTATTCTGTTTCCAACAGAATGTGAATAATTCTTTGTTTTTGACAGGAAATCTTGTGAGGATGACAGTGCTCCTTATCTGCAATTATGTCTTTTGTATTCGATTATGGCATGCTGCAATCTCAGCTGCATTGCAAAATAGAATCCTGGCATTGAACAGTTTGTAGGATTTTCTTTTGATGTTTGTTTCCAACCCAATTCATAATATATTTGAGAACTTAAAAACTTATTCATCTCAGATAACTGAAGTTTAAGTACAAGTGAGCTTTGGGGAAAAAAAAAAAAAAAATTAGAATTAATACAGCATTTTGTGCATTAGAAGTGGAAAATGTAGAGGCAAAATTACCAATTTCCATGGTTGTAAACACAGGTTTTAAAGGGATGCTGTTCTGAGCCAGATCACACTTCAGTGGAAAAAAGCAACAGGAAAACGTGCAAGAAGAGAGGTCTTGACTTCAAAAAGGTATATAATTATGATCAATTAATAAAAACGTATGTATGAGAGAGAACATATGCAAACATAGATGTAAAAAAAAAATTAAAAAAAAAGGCAGCTAAGTACATTTCTTTTGTTACCTATGAAATGAACGTTTATGTACTTATTTTTAGCATTTTCCTCAGGAAAAAGACAATGTGAACAACTTCTGCAGTTGGCTTGTGTGCACAATATGTTATTCAATCTACAGCCAAATATCTGAGTTTTAATTACAACATGAATGACAAAAACATGATTTTTGTGTTATTGTGCTTCTCTAAAATGTGGGGAGATGTACAAGAAATCATGCTGCATGAAAATTACTTTGCAAGGTCTAGAAAATCCTGATGAGTGCATTAGCAGATTGAGAAAGTTCGAATTGTAAGAATAATGATATTTTTAACAAAAACGAATCCCCATGTATCAAAAGCTTACTGAGTTGATAAAAACACAAAATATGGATAATAATAATAAGAAGAAATAATCATAATAAATACAAAATATTTAATATAAATTAAAAATTAAAAATAAGCAACCCCCAGAGCACTTTCAGACTGAATTTTTTTGTCAGTGGATGACTATGGATCTGGAGTAACACACTGTATCTGATGTTATACAGGCAGCCAAGTCACTTATGCAGTGATGTATAAAATTCACAAATTTTGGTGACCAAAGTTTGATTTTGTCATTTCTTCTATAGATAGAAACAATAAAACATTTTAAGCACGGGAAGGACAATACTTTAGTTGTCCTTTAATATATTTTAAACAGATATTCTAACGCAGAGAAAACAAAGAGCCGTGAAAATGTTGAGAACAATTATTTTTCATTACGGCAGTGCTCCAGCTGACCGTTCAAAAGGATGAAAAGACAATATTTCCAATTTCATTAAGGAAAATTAAAGCTAACAGGGATCAGATCGCTTTCACAATTTCATAATAACAGACTGAAATACTGAACATCTAAAATTCACAGCCTAAAATTGATATCATTTCTAATATTTCTCCAAAGTCAGAAAGGAATTCTGGCAGCTTGAGATTACAGTTAGTTTCTTGTTGAAGTCATTCTGAAATGATCTTTCAAAGGTAAAAGCTACACATCTATTGCCTCATTTGTTTGCATAATTAGTTAACTGAGTTCTAGCAAGAAAACAATTCGGTCCTTCAGTTTACTTTTCTCCTGAGGTTCCTACCAGAAACATTCATTGGTTCTACACAAAAGCAGAAAAAATCCAGGCAGACAATATTTAAGACAAATTCTAGCCTCTTCCTTGCATGATATAACTCTATCTTGAAAGCCTTTTTATAGAAGACATGCCTTTTCCTGTAGAGTTGATAGTAGAGAAAGAATTAAGAAATCATTCTAAGAACATATTTGTTACACAACTTACAAGGCAGCTAGCGAGTTGCCCATCACAGTTTGTGAATACCCTCAAGTAGGAAATTGTGTTACTTACATCAGAGAGATGAGTGGCCTGCAGTTGGGTCACGCCCAAGAGGCAGTGCCATTGCCCTGCCTGAAATTCGAAATTCTTGTCAACCTTCTACAATGAGTGCCCTAAACAATAAGTATTTTCTGATACAGTGAATTAAGCCTCCATAGTGCACCAGGCTCAGAAGTGGTTGACTGAGCTACGTGCTACAACAACATGGTATTTTGTCTGCTAGTTTTTGGCAGTGCTAAAAACTGGCATTTTGTTTATTACTGGAAAACTGCTGGTGGAATTACCAGAAATGTGAGAATCTGAAGCCTGCCATTACACCAGCAGAAAGATTTTCCCACTGTGCTGTAGATTTCCATTTCTGAAATCAAGGCTTGTGGAGTCACAGCTAACAATCAATATTCATTAAAAGATCTTTTATTATTTAGCCTGTTATCATAAGATAATAACAGTTTCTAACAGCAAATAATAGTTTGCAATGAAAGCTTAAAAATGACGGAGGATTGAAGTGGGCAGGTAACACAGACCACAACCAATGTGTATTACAGTGCTATGCTGCTAATCGCAGAGAAGTTTGCATGGTACACATCGTTCTTCCCTCACAGAAGGCACACGCTGGTGGTCATCCACCTGGAGCCGAGTCCCAGCATTGACTGGGCAGCAGTTATTCCAACCCAATAGTATAGTTTGCTTATCACAGTTATCCACATCATAAAGCAGATAAGTATGTAATGGGTTGTAGTAAGAGGTGTGGAGTATTATTTCCCTCCCTTCCACCACAGGAAAGGCTTCCTGGTACGCCCACATGACATGTTGACAACAATGGGATGCTTCCAACCACTCATGTATTTCTCCTGCTGATTAATATTGTCTGTTCCAGCCCAAGTAAGATTACGTTTATAATCTCTGCCACTTGATGTAATGCATGCCTAGGGAAATGTTAGCCCCAGTCATTTCTTCTAAAGCAAAGGTTATGAAGTTGAAACAAGTCATTTAGCATTCACTGTTCACATTAATGTATTGATTTGACCTGAAGTGCTCAACTAGATTGTTACGTGTGATGCTCTTCTTATTCTTGCATTCTGTCTCACAAATCAACATTTTCCTCAGAAGTCTGGACCAGAATTATTCAGCCACATGGTGTCAGAGCTGTATCCTTATGGCACAGGCAGAAGAACAGTGAGCCTCTCAGCTCACTCTCAGTTTTTTTAAGCACTAGTAGTGCTCAGTCTTCCTTCAGTTTCATTATTTTTTTATTTCCTTCCTTGCTTGATACCCCTCCTAAATTCCTTCTTGCCTTGACATTCTTGCTTAAACAGTGACTAAGTCAACAATTCTATCACTAGATTTGGCTCTTGCTCCTCAGTTTGTTCCCTGATGGGTTTATTAGGTTGTTACCGCTGGACAGCATTTTTCCAGTACTGAAGGGCTGCTCACACGGTTCCATTAAGACCTGACTAGTTTTTATTGCATGGTCTTCTATAATTCACTGAGTAGCTAGGCAAAGCTAAGCAAGACAGAGTCAGAGGGCAGCTATGCAGTCATCAATAGCCTTACTGTGAGACTTACTCATGGTTCCAGTCAAATAGACTAAGATAAATAAAATACAGCACCAAACTGACAAGAAGTGAGGACAACAGAATTACTTTGGTTCATAACTGTAGATTGTCAGTGATAATGCCGTATTTACTGTGCCTAGCTGCTGGCTGGGGTCAATTTGTGGCTGTCCTTTTTGGTGCCTAGACAAAGTGTCCTGAACAAAATCACACCACTATTGAGCTCTTCTGCAAGAGGTATCCTACAGTCCAGTATGAGCAGTAGTCAAAGTGCATGCTATAACTGATGTCACCGAAGTGTTGTTCTCAAACCCTTGGATGGCAAGGTATAAGCCAGTTTGCTTCCATGTGGAGGGAAGTGCACAGCATCTGGAACTGACTGCTTAGGGTCAAAGTACAGCCCTATTGCTCTTCAGGACAGGACCAGCTGTGACAAGATAAAGGCTGTGCTGGAGCAGCCACTTGCATGATTTCATCACCAGTGGGATAGGGAGAGATGAGAAATACAGAAATAAGAAGACTTTTATGTCAAAATAAATACAGTATAATATGTGAAGGTTGGAAAAGCAATCAAACAAACAACACTACGTGATGCAAAAACAATTACTCTCCCTTTCTCATAAACAGATCGGTCAAAGCAGAAACTGACAGCATAGAGAGCATCACCATTCTCTGAGCAACAGACACCTCGGAAGGCAAAACAGTCCCCTCAGTGTTACTGTCCTCTGCATGCCATTGCTGAGCATGAAGTTATATGGCGTGTAGTATCCCTTTGGTGGGTTGGGGCCAGCTGTCCTGGCTGCATTGCTCCCAGCCTCTTGTCCAGCCTGCTCCCTGGGGCTGGATTTGAGAAAAAGAAGTCTTCCTAATGCTGAGCAAGCGCTGGGCCATCAACTTGTGTGTCATCAGCCCTGCTCCAGTCTCAACTCAAAGCATCATATTTTTCTGAAATATTTCCCAAGGGCAATGACTTCACTGAGGCAGCTGAGATGGCTGTTCTGTTTTATTATTTTGTTTATCATCAGCTGTTGCTTATGATGATTAACGTTTCCTTGTTTCATGTGGGGCAAAAAGTATGCTATAGTATGCCATGTAGATACCATGATGGTGTATGGCGAGTTGCTCTGCTTCAGCTGTCCTTTCCAGCCACTTATCTTTTAACTGCTTCCTGCTTCAGAGAGCAGCAGTTAGACCCAGCCTGGGCTTTTGTTAATTGTGCCTCATTTGAATCCTTTTGTGCTGATTTATTTTAAAACATTGATACTCCTCTCTCACACTGTTTCCTCTGAAACATTATTCACATACCTGGACAGATTTTCTTTAACCTGTTGAGTCACCACATGTTGGGCATATGCTGCTACTACAAGAGCACTGTGACTTACCTGTGGGGCATGAGTAAGGTGTATTTTTTTCATGAAAGCAAACCTGCAGATTTATTTTTCCTCTAATGCAATGCCAAAGAAACAGATTTGTAACTGAAAACCACCTATTAATTTCCTAAATGGTATGAATGATTGTGCCTGCTGCAGCAGGAGCTGTTTTCTGGATGCAATATGAGATAACCTCAGAAAGAACTGTTTGGAAGAAGTCTTTCTCTGGGTTTTGTCATCTGCCTTCCTAGCAGGCCATAATGGAAAATTACCCAGTTCCTGCTTTCTTGCGTAGAACGTAGTTGTAAATATTCCTCAGTGTCATCAGAACTGTGGCATCTCGCACTCTTGAGTCAGCACTTCCAGCAGTGGCTGCTCATGCACACAGCTGCTCTCTCCCACCCACACATATCATTACCCAAACCATCTTCTGATGGTCTCCCCACCTGATTTTCTATCACCTCATGCAGCTAGGCAGGCATTGTTCCACCTCATTTGAGTGCCCCTTGCTATTCATCTTTGTAGGATGAATTTCTACATGGCACACACTAATTCCTCTCCTTGCTTCTTCTAGTTCTCTCTCTCTATTCTCCCCAAGGTCTTCTCTCTCCACCCTCTTTATGAATCCATCAGATTCTTTCATTAAATATACAGTTCCATTTTACGGTTTTCATTCTCAAGTTACCAGAAGGTGTTTTTCTTAATGACAAGCTTTCCTCAGCTTTCCTGTTTTTAAAACATAAATTTTGGCTTGAAGCTGCAAATACTGTGCTGTCAGTCTGGTTTATCAGGACAAGACTTTTTAGCTGCTTTCCATTGTAGCTTCATTAATACAGGAGGTGTATCCTCACGTTTCACTTTCTGTGCTCTACAGTAACCACAGGGCATATTCTTTCCTTTCTTGTCAGTTGGGCTGAAAAGGCACATTTCTCTTCCTATGGCAAGGTGCTTTTTGCTGGAATCTCCAGCATAGTTGGAACTGTTGACTACTCTTTCTCTGAGCCTTATCCCGAGCCTTTCTGATTTTTTTTTGGGCAGGCCTAGCATCTCCTCTGACTTTATCAGAGTTCTCATTGCTTATTTCAAAAGGCTGATGGACTCCAGAGCTGATGAGTCTGGGGATTATCTCTTACCTTTCCTCTTTCCAGTGATGTCTTCTGGTAACATTTTTCATCCTCACCCAGGAGCATCTGGAGAGCTTACACACATTGAGTCTTACCAAGAGGCTGCTTGGACAATAGCTATTCCTTCTTTAGATGGATCTTAGAAGAAGATTTCTTGGAGACCTGAGATGTGTACAAATGGTACCTAATAAACCAGGTTTTATTAAGAGTAATAAACACTGTCATATTCAGATAATAACAAAATAGGCAAGGGAAGCTGTCACTTGACATGTTGTTTCTACTGGCAGCTGACCTGGAAGGCCTGAGGTAAGGAAATGACCAGGAGAAAATCCTATACTATTCCAATAACTGGCACAGTGCAGAGCAAACCTGCAATGGTCTTTTTGGGAAGCAGAGGAATGCAATTGCAGTTCTGGAAGCACTCAGTCCTTTGAGGGAAGCAGGTATTGTTCTGTTTTCATTCCTCATAGAATCTAAACCAAATGATTAGATCTTCTAGGAAGATCTAGTAATATTTATGATGAACACTGGAAAATGTCACGGAGAAAACCATTTAATATACACCAACATAGCAATATCCCTGAACTTTCATAACATACTGGACCATAAAGAAAAGCTTTACAAAATAACTTGTGTTCTTTGCACTGTGTATTCTCGTAGCTGAAGGAAGATAATCACTTTTTCATCATGCATTCTGAAGGAGATTCGGTGAAGTTCCAGTGCTATGAAGACACAAATTACTTTCTGCACGTGAATGATCACTCACTTGACATACGCAAGCTGGATCATGATGACCCTGACGGGGAGAGAAACTTTGTCTTCAAGGTGACATATTTTTAGAAAAATTATTTTTTCTACCTTTGAATGGCCTGAGTGCCAATACTGCTCCTATCACAATCTATACAGAGAGGGCAAGAGGTTCAGGTTAACACATTTCTATTTTGCCTTATTTTTTACTTCTTTTTTTTTGTTGTTTCAATCACCATTTTGTATAAGTAGCATCTTTTCTTTCTGTACTTACAATAGGAAGAGATAATGGCTAAATTTGAAAAACAGTAACTAATCCCTTCATATTGTACCTGCACAATTATGGACTTCAGAAGCTGAATTCTCCCTGAAGGGGAAAAGTACGTTGGGTATATTTCAAGGACAAGGGAAAAAGGTTCACGCACAGGCATGGAAAAGCATAGCTTTCCACAGTGTAAATATTCCACTTTAAAAAAATAGTTTTCTTACAAGCTTATCTGAACTTGCAGTGAACTTGCATTTAGAAGTCATTAAATGCATATGTATGTGTACTGACCAAGTAGCTGTGGGAAAGCTGAGGAAAGTGTCGCTCATCTCAAGGAGAGCAGGGGAGGAGGTCAGGGCTTGGCAGCTCAGAGAGTGCATGCACTCAGCCTGGCAGCACTGCAGCCTCAACTGGGCCTCAGGGGAAGTGCAGTCAGTGCTTGGCTGCAAATTTCATAATGACTAAATAAACTGGAAGTGAGTAAGCGAACTGAAAAAAACACACACCACATCAGAGGAGCAGTCTTACAGCAAAGGGTCCTGTGAATCAGGGTTGGATTTGATAATCTTATAGGTCTTTTGCAACCTTAATGATTCACAATTCTAGGAGGATGATGCTGCTCCTTAGAGCACATGCATTGCACTCTGCGAGGCACAAAACGCATTGAATAGAAGAGGAAACAAAACAAAGCTGTACACATTAGGTGTTAGAAGTCTGGTTCTCAGTTGCTGTGCATGCAGTCCCACTGCCATTTGGTGGCACTTTTCTTTAACACAATGCATTTGGGAACATATTTGTATGAATGCTAGGTGTCATACACCTGTGCAAGGAGCTGTGGCTTAGCTGCAGTGAAACAGTCCTGCCATGGCCGTTCACTGCCAGTGAATCCTAACATCAGCCAGTCCAATTTGTGTGCATTACAACAAGGCAATATTATATTTCTTTCAGTAACAGCAGTGTGGTGCTTCACTGCTGGACTACTATATTTGGAACAGCAAAAATCATTTTGTTGCTTCCTTTGCTGATAGAACAGAAGAGAGCTTCTGAGTATTCTACCTGTGAGCAGTACCTGTGGCTTCTAGATCTGTTAAGTGTTCACTGAAGTCAGTGGGTGGGAAACAAACAAAAACACAAGAACAGCCCAATCCCAACAACAATGACAATGAGAAAACCTACATAGTTAATGGAATATATTGATGATAGGTGAATGGTTGTACTGGATGATCTTAGAGGTCTTTGTGATTTTATGACTCTGTGCTTCTACAATTCTATATTGACTACAGCAGATGTTACATAAGAAGTAAGTTATTTAGAATAATCTATTATGCTATACAAACAATGAATTAAATGGTGTATTAGGTGCAATAATTTGACTGAGACATTCTGGTATTTGCCTATGGTAAGGATATCACCTTATTCAGTCACAACAGCTGATGAAATTGCTACAACACATCACAAAGCTTGCATGAAGCATACTGATAAAATACCTTTGCTGATGTCTGCAAAAAATGTGTTCAAACTCCATGAACCCTGATTCTTTTCTGTAGTCAAAGCTTAAATTATGGCTGTAATGTAGAATGCTGCACTTCTACCATCTACCTTAAAAACAAGATTTTTAAAAATACTTTAAATCCTTATTGGATATCAGCAGTGGTAGTTTTGTGAAGTTGTAGACTCAAGATATAAAGTCAAAATGTTATTTGACAATTTTTTTTCAGATAATAATAAATAAAGCTCTGTGATGAGAAATCAGATCAACACTTCATGGATATTCATCTTTCCCAGACTCTTACTTTGCACTTGCAAAACCTGTAAACTGACGTTTTCAGCTTCCAACTAATCTGAACAAGTAACAGACAAGGAGAAAGCATATATTACCTTTATTTAGACATAAATACAAAACTAATGCCAGTGAGTTCTTTTTAAAAATATAGCCTCCTTGCTTTACAGTGGGGAAAAAAAAAACATATTTATCCAGTGTGTCTAACATTTGAATATGAAATATAATTACTACTTTGCAGTTTATTTTCAAAATGAGGCAGATATTCTTAAGCTTTTACTTTGCGGATATGATAATTATTAAAATACTAATATAAATATATTAGTTTTGCTTTTCTGCACTTCAAAAGCTGTGCCTAATAGAAAATAATGGGTTCTGTTTGAAGGAAAATAATTTAATACAAGTGTTCTTCATGTGTAGCTTCATGGGCCTCTGGTACTTTGACCATATTTGTGACCTGTTAGAATAAAATTTGTAAAAGAACATAACTTAATAATGTGATTCTCATGCTAGTTAATCCAAGGGGGAGGAAAAAAAATATAAAGAAGTAGTGACCGCACCTGCCTAGGATCTATGTGCTAATTAATCCAGAGACTGGATTTCTTTTTTCCTTGGAGAAGGGAATGGTCACTCACAGTAGAAAAACACTGAAGGCTGGCAGAAAGATCACTGCATTGAAGTCTGCTTAGGATCAACTGTTGTACTTTAAAGCATGAGATTGGTTCCCAACATTGCTAGGCCTGAAATACATGGCTTCTATGCACTGTGTTACATACTACTTTCATTATGGACAGCCATGGATTATGAACTATATATCAAAATCAGAAATTGTTAGTCTAATGAATGTTTTTACAGTTGGAACAAAAGCTAATGACCTAGCTTGAGTGCGGTTACAACAGTACTAAAACTTGTAAAACCTGTAATTAATTCAAAATAACCATTTTCTATTAAAGGAACACTATCGAATACCATGTACGCTTCCATCTACTCTGTTAACTCTAATCAGTAGCACAATAAAGGAACAGACAAAGATTCTCTCTCCTCCTCTCTGACATGAAGTCACCAGCCCTCTAGCTGTTCTTGCTGGAAGTCACCCTTTTTCTTTGATGTGATGGCATCACCACTGCACAGAATCACAGAACCATATGGGTTGAAAGGGACCTCTTGGCGATCATCGCACTCACCTGCCTGCTAAAGCAGGTTCCCTACAGAACGCTGCACAGGGAAGCTTCCAGGTGGGTCTCAATATATCCAGAGAGGGAGACTCCACAGCCTCGCTGGGCAGCTTGTCCCAGAGCTCTGCCCCCCTTGCAGTAAAGAAGTTCCTCCTCATAATGGTATGGCACTGCCTGTGTAGCAGTTTTTTTACCAGTTGCCCCTTGTCCTGTTGCTGCCTTAGATTTCAATAGACACATTAGCATGGGGAGACTTACTGATATACGAACCTCACATTTCCCCTCTGAGGTTGACAGAACACTGTTCTATATTCAGCATAGATTTTAAGTACATATTTTGAACTACAGTGTGAGCATCAATGGAGATTTTACAAAAAGCTGCCTTCTTGGTTTTGTTTCCATTCATCCGTAGTTTGTTGAACCAAAGAACCCGTAGGCAGGTTAAACGCCTTTGCAATTCGCTCCTGCTGGGCAGCACTGCTCACAGCCCCTCTGCCGGGAGCAGCTCAGGCGAGCCGGACTCCACAGCTCCGCTCCTCGGCGCTCCCGCCGCGCTGCAGGGGCTGTGCGCGGGCACGGTGGGCGGGCCCACAGGAATATACCGAGATCCGACGGTCTCTGCCACCATCTCGTGGTCTACAGGAATGCAGTGGTAAACTTGTACCTAGATTGTGCATCAGCAAGCCAGCAAAAAGATCTCAGCAGCAGAAAGCCGAGAACATTCACCTTTTCTTCCCACAGCGGAACTAATTTCCATCTGATACAAAGCCTAGATCTTCTGTCTGGAGTGACAGGAGAAGGCTGACAAGCATGTCAAAGGAAGGGTTTCTCTCTATTAGCATTTTCAAGGCCACATCAGGAACGCTATTCTCACTTTTGGGTTTCCCAGTACAAACTGGAGCAAAGATGAGAGACTCGGTGCATGCCCAGGGCAGGTGAGGCCTGGGGAGGAGAATCCTGGAGATGAGAAGGTTAAAAGTCTTCACCTGGAGGCGTTGTGGAAAGGACAGAAACAAACTTTTCCTTAGAGTGTACGACAAAAAGACCACAAGCAGTAGTCACGAGTAGTAGCAAGGGCCTTTCTGCCTGTGAATTACAAAAATAATCTGAAAATCACAAGGATATGCATGTAGAATTTCAAGCAGTCTTTGTGAGCTTTCCAACATTTGACTGGACAAGGACACATGCAGTCTGACCAAATACTGAAGGTAAACCTGCTTTGAGTGTGCAGCTTGGCAAGATGATCTCCAGGAGTTCCTTCCTATCTAAATTACATTATATCATGACTCTCAGGCAGCTTCCACGTGTTACAACTGACAGAATATTTACTCCAAACAGCAAAGCGTGCAGTGCAAACTATGCAAACATAATACATAGAAGAGCCACAGAAGAACCACTTAAAAGCACATAAAATGAAATGAAATGCCTTGATTTCCTCCCAAGGCACAAAGCATTCGTGACTGCAAGTGGGCTTGAGCCTGACGGGAGATAAATTCACTGGCAAAGCAGATTCCGTCTTCAGGAAAACTCAAAACAAAACATGCACTTCTTTCAGAGCAGAAAGCTCTGTATGTAGAAGAAATGTTCATTTGGAAAATAAAAAGTAAAGCAATATATCCTGTCAGGGCAATTTAAAAGCTACTGCATTCTTCCTGATTATATGTGTTGTAGTTTTTCTTGTGATAATGTTCTTGGTATTTGAAGGAACAGAAAAAACAGCAGGTACATCCCACTGCACTGAAGTCTGGTCAGTTCTGCCAGGATTTCCTCCACTGCACTTTTTAAAAATAAAAAATAAGTTCAATTCTATTTAAAGTATCAGAATGTACATCAAAAATCCCATTATGATATAAGATCCAGTACACCTGGCTAAAAATGCTGCCTAGATTCCAGATGTTGTACAAATGACTATCACATCAATTACTTCTTGAAATAAACAGATTTCTCTTCTGCATATTGAAGATGTTATCCAAAAACATCACATTTTCTGCAGTGTTAAGGCTGTACCATTAGGTGGTAACAGGAAAAATGTCATTTTCACAGCTTTTCTGTAAAAATATTTACAAAGAGAAAGCAATAAGATGTTCAGTACCCTCATCAAGTAGCCGTAGTGGTGGGCTTCAAGCCTAATTGGTCCCAAGGAAAGTACCTGAATTGACCAGCAGGCACTGATAAAAAACCCTAAAACATTGCTGAATATGTCTTTGCTGTCAGTTTGTTGATAAAGGCATTCTAAGGTGTTTTACAGAGACTGAATGTGAGAAGTATATGGAAAAAAAAAGAGTCGAGGAAGTCTAGAAAATGGATTGAAACTGGAGAGAGAAGCATGGAGAAAGAGAACAGAGGAAGACAGAGTGACAGTATGGAATTAGAAACATACTGAAAAATTCAAAATGGAGACAGGTCAGGTAAAAATGTGAAAATAAAAAGCACGGAAAGGGTAGTGTGACTCCATATGCAATTCCTTCCTCTTTCTAGAAATCTAACAAACGGAAGAGTTACCTACATTAACTGTGCCTAAAAATCTGTCTGCTGAGAAAAAGGACATCTTAAACTGGCTGGATCTGACACCAAGCCATTTCTTCACAGCAAAGTACATTCTCAAATAAGGGAAAACCATGGTTTAAAGAAGTCACAAAGGTATGTTAAAACAATTTTACTTTAATTTTAACTGTAAGATTGAACTGATACAGAAATAAATACACATCGTGTCTTCATTATAAACCATCTGGAAACCTAAGTGTCGGTGTATTTGGTGTCACACTGAAGTTTGTGTGCCTTGTCCTTCAGGCCTCAGACTTAATGGCAGGACAGGGTCAAGTATTTTTATGGGAAAATAGACAATATGACTACATCTTCTTTTGTCTTTTAGTCATCTCCAATTTCTAATTTCATGATTATGATTTTTTTCATTTATAGCCTAAGAATAATTTCAATGTATTTGTCTTTTTTTTTTTTTTTTTTCCATCTGGCAATGCCATGAGTTTAACAGCATCATTCAAAGTTAACTTTGAAACTGAATTTCAAAGGACAGGAATTTACCTCGAGCTATTGAAAGTTACTCACTAGCAATGTAACATCTATGGGAATCAAAGGGATCAGATGAGTTTTAAAGCCTGGCTTGTGTAAAATAGACATCTAGTTTCTAGTTGTTTAGTCCAGAACATTACTCCCTATGCTTTCTCTTAAGTCATGCAAAGAGTATCAAAACTCACAAACATAACACTCAACAGAAGACAGGAGTTCAAACACAGAAACATTCCATAACCCTTGTCCTTTCTTGCCTGTAATTTCCTTCTTTTTTATCAGTTGCATTCTTTCGTCATCTTGCACCTAAAATAGAAGTCTAACCAAAATATGTTTGAGTAACGTCTCAGTGAGAACCCAGTTCTGACCACAGACTAAACTACTAAATAAATATAAAGAGCTACTTCATGTTTTCACAACTCTGATAATATTTTCTAGAAACAAGGATGAAGTAAGCTGTCGAGAAACAATTCTTCTACTGCCAGCACGGGGTTAGTGCAGGAGTGTTTTGATGGCAGCTCTGTAGTATTAGTGCTAATGAGCGGGACTACTGTTTGTCTAGAAAGCTGCCAGTGCCAGAATCCATGGATATATTAGTGTAATTCCATTGTTACACCCAATAATACCACAGTGGGATGTGCAGTTAGTAAACAAAAGAAATCACTGGCTGTGCACCAAGGTGTTCATAAATAAATGGCTAATATTAAAATAACCTTATTACGAAGGAAAAAGTTATCATGCAAGCTACTCATCTGTAGATGAAGGCTGTTTATTGAGTGAGAGATTCTAATGTGATCTCTGACCTCATACACAACAGTGCTGTTCTTTTTAGTGAGTTCCTGGCTCCCTGAAAGATACATCTCAGTACTTCTGTGTGGTTATGACACCAAGCGTCATTGCCCAGCGTTAGGACCGCTTCTTTCATCTATATAGCATGTATGTAGAAAATACAGATGTTGCTAAGGTAATCTATGTTATAATTGGAGTTGTAATGAGCTCCACTGACCTTAATAGAAGAACAACCCCAAACCCTCCTCCTTCTGTTCTGGAATCTTAAAGCTTAGCTGCATTTAAAGGTAACAAGTACAGCTGTACAGCTGAACACAGTAGTACCACTGTCACTGGTTTACTTAGGTTTGAATGTTGAACACTGCTGCTTTTCATGTTACTTACACTTTGGCCTAAATAATTAAAATGAATAACATATTTTTAAAAGACATTTGCAATAGTAAAGTGCTACGGGTGGAATGTCAGGACTGGGAGTTGGAACTAAGAAGAAATAACTCAGAGGTTTTTGATTTGGAACCTAGTAATACTGGCAGAGGCAGGCTCGAGAAAGCCATAAATGCTACTCTGAATTATGATGTCTTAGATCTCCTAGTAACTGCTGTGCTTCTTGAACACCATGCCAGATCAGCAGCAGAGTCAATACTGTACTTCAGTCCTCTTCTGTTTGAATGAGACTGTAATACAGCAACAAGAGAATAAGTCTGCTTAAAGCATGACCATACAATGCTGAAGCCTGCAATTTGGCAGAAAACCAGAAGTAGACAAAAAACTCAAAAGCAATTTTGATTGCTGTATTGAAACCAACATATTTTGAAAATCGGTGCCTAAGCGAAATATGATTTCAAGGGCTGAAGATCTGGTAAAGCATCTCTTCTTCAGGGTACACTATAAGCATAGTCAGGTAGCTGGTAAATTTAGCAAATGGATTAAACAGACACGGCTTGTTGCTGCCACATA